TAATAAAAATTATAATTTTTATATATTTTATATAATTTCAGTTAACGACCACAAAATGGCTAAAACAAACGGCACACACACACAGCAAGGCCAACGAACCAAACAGTTAACAACATTAACAGTATTAATGTTTACAGTGCTAACAGTATTAATACAAATGCCTGTGAACAGTGCAGCGGCCGCCATACAAGCCGCTCACATGCACACCGCAGCCACCGGCGAAAACAATGTCCGACCAGCAGCATTAGCAGCTATAAACGCCGCCGAGGTGCTTAGCAATCAACAAAGCGCCGTCTTTCAACAATTACTCGACAGCACGGCAGGTGCGGCACAACGCGGACGACGAAAGCGACTGCGCAAGCGCCACAACGACGAAATGCGCCTGAGTCGCTTAGCAAGCGTGACAAACGAGGCTGAAGCGCCACTTGAGTGGATGAATGCATGCGGGTATGTGCAGGAGGAGAATGCCGAGCCGAGCATACAGCATATGATGGCCAAAAAGGAAGCAGTGCGAACGCTTCGGAAGGCGCTGCGTTCGGAGAATACAACAATTAATGCGTTACATACGATAAATATCGACGATATGCCCAGCTGGCGCAAGCATAGTAGGAAATATAAATTTCTGCCAACACTGAATCGAACAGCCAAAGTGAGTATTTGCATATTCTTGTGAATTAAATAAGAAAAACATAATTATTCATGTACAAAAATGTGAAAATATTGCACGTCATACAATCAATTGATTACTGCGAAACTTACGAAGCGCATTCTGCAAAATTAATTTTTTTAACAACAACAAGCAACGCAAATAACAGTGAGCGCATAAATACAGTATGTATGTAATATGAAGCACTTTCGTTGCGCTGTTGACCGATTTTAAGCTGAACGCGCGCCCTGCATGCACCGCGCTTACCAATTAAAGCAGCCATCCATCCAAGCAACCAGCTGAGCAGCTGAGCGGCCGAACGGCCAGCTGTGCGCTTGGCGTTCGCTGAAAGCTCGCGCCAACTGTGACAATCATTTACTACTTAATAAGCAAATTATACGAGCCCGTGTGCACATGCATACAAACACGCTTCCTCTAGTTTAGTTTAGCCTCTTTTTTTCTTTTTTCGTTATTGCGTGACGTAGTGACGTACTGTAAGCGCTTGCTTTGCATACACATATACATGCAAACGAGCAAGCCGATGACTAATGCAAAAGTTTAGTCACTTCGTATGCACGACCGTAGACCGCTAGACACTGAAATTCATCCAAATATACATACAAATGCATGTAATATATAATATATATGTACATAAATATATCCGTATACATATGTGCGTACAACTGCTGAAATGTATATCACAGTCTGTTTGTAGCACTTTTATTATAGGGCAGTCGCTTGTTTTGAGTTACTTGTGTTTTTGGCGCTCGTATGCCATGGAGCTTGGGTCTGCTTGTCTATCACTTAGCAGCCGCTTTTGTTATGTTTTTTTTGCGTTTGTTGTTTTTTAGCGAAATGCTGATTGTTAGCTTCGAACTATATTGAGCGCTTAGCGTTTGCTTTTGTTGTTATTATTATTTTTTATTTATTCTTTCTTCACGTACTTTTGTACTCACGAAGCTTTGCTTGCCGAAAGTCGGAGGCTCGCACGCTTATAACCTACCAAATTTCGCTGTGGATTTTCCCTGACAATTGGATTTATTTGTTTTTAGGTGTAAATAGAATGGACTTTCCCAAACATTTCGCCAAATTACAATTGCAGGAAGTTGAGTCAGTATATAGAGATATATACATAGAAAATATGAAAGAGAATTGAAACAAAAAAAATGTCAAGTTTTTGGTTGCGTCGAATCTGCTATATAATATTATTCACAACTGAAAATATTGCGCACACACTCACTTGCTTTCGATTGGCTTGAGGGTATATGATATAGTAGACCGATCCGAACAATATGACAAGTTTCGTGAAGATATTTTGTTATATAAAAAAGTTTTCCATACAAAGATTTTATTTCGATCGTTGAATTTGTATGACGGCTCTGTGGCACAGAGATCCGACAAGGGCAATTTCGATAAATAAGCAGCTCTTTGAGCAGAAAGGGACTTTTGAAAAATTCCAGAACAATATCTCAAAAATATTTTCCTCTAAAGCTTAAGAAAGTTTTTTTTTACTACAATAAACCGCCAATTAATCATTACCTTCTCTTCCGTTACAGATCGAACTCCATCACTGGCATCGCGCCATGCAGAAATTTGTCGCCAGCTTCGCCGAACTGGGTGTGAAACAATATCGTTGGGATCGTAAAAATCTGCAAGTGGTCAGCGCTACCACACACGAACTCAACGCACTGTTGCTCAGCGCGCGGCGTACACTCTGCGAAGTGGAATCCGCCATACACGCTGTAAATCCACAAGCGAAAATACGCACCGTTACACGCGTCGAAATGCAAAAGAAGCTGAATTTCTATTCGAACGATCAGGCACGTGTCGACCAGCAAGGCGTGGACGCGAAAGATTTGCGTTTCGCCAAACAGCGTTACAACAAATACGTGCAACATATGCTGCAAATCGTGCGCCGTCAAATGCAGGCGACCCGAAAACGGGTGGGCAATAGAGCAACAGCCAAGTCTATAGCCAGCTACAGTGATGAGAGCAACTACAGTCACTGGTTGGATCTGGCCGATTTGGAAGGCTACGACACCTCTGCGCAGGCGTCATATGGCATGAGCGACGAGCTGCCGCTGGCATCGTGAGCGCATAACACATAATCGTTAGTGTATTAGTAGTGTAATGAGAATTTATCCCAGTATGTGCCATTAATAGTGTAACTAAAAGAAGCTATCCCTGCTGTAGCCTCTATGTAGGCTGGTGAAAGCGCGTGCAGGCTCGGCTGTTGTATTATACCGAAATACGGACGTCCAATACTTAAACATACCACTAAGTTTAACTAGTTTTAAGCGCACACAATTCTTAGTGATAGGCTAGAGTTCCTCAAAATATGCATCACATTATTTATTTATTTATTGCATTCATTTAGGCGTATAAGCGCATTTTTATTATAAACGAAAAATATTTATTTAAATCATGCCCAGCCCTCATTTAGCAGCTAAGTTCTTCATATTTATTGTTGTAATTAAATTTTTGTACACACTTAATTTATAAATTATGTAAGTAGTTAGCTCACTCAACAAATTGTAGCTTATTTTTAACACAATGATATTATGTATGTATGTATTAAAAGAAATTTTGTGCTTGTGCTAAATAGTTAGTGTGCATTAATGCCTACTGTGATTAATTAGCTGCTTAATGTAATATTTATTTATTTTAATACATAGCTGTACATATATAAGTAGTTAGTTATTTTCAAATTGTTAAGTGGCACACCCAGTGTAGCAGCCTTAATTGGCAGTTTTTGGGAATTAAAACAAACAAAAAACTACGAAATTAATTGATTTTTAATTTTGATGGTATATCTATATATATTTGAGTAATCTTTTTCTTCTTTATTGGCGTAAAAACCGCTTACGTATTTTTAGTCGAGTTTACAACAGCCTGCAGTATGTGTAGATTCCTGCTATAGCCAGGTCCTTCTCCACTTGTTCTTTCCAACGGAGTGGGAACCCTCTTCTTTCTCAGCTTCCCTTGGCAGGTACTGCGTCGAATGCTCTCAGAGTTGAAGTATTGTCATACATTCCGACAACATGACCTAGTCAGCGCAGCCACTGTCTCTTGATTCGCTGAACTATTTCGATGCCGCCGTATATCTCAGCTTATCGTTCCATCGACTGCGGTATCCGCCGTTGCCAATACACAAAGGACCATAAATCTTCCGAAGAACGTTTCTTTCGAAAATTCGTAACGCCGACTCATCAGATGTTGTCACGGTGTACAGGCTTTATCCGGAAAGTAATACGATTGAGTCCATTTAAAAAAATTTATTGAATCAATCGTTACAATTCTCTTTTTTCTTTCAAAATAGGTTCCTATCCCGTCGATGCTGTGCTGCTACCGCGATATCCAAGCATTGAAGGCGTCATGGTAGGCATTCTCCGGAATAGCTTTGAGAGCCGAGGTGCATCCTGCTTGGATCCCCTTTCATCGGGCTTTTCAGGCAAGGATACAAAAAAACAAAAAAAAAAAAAAAATTTGGGCTGTGGGCGGCGGCTCTTGAGGAATTCAATGCAAAACTTGGCTTTGACGGTTTGTCCAGGAGGAAAAAATTCATGGTAGACGATGCCTTTGAAAGTCAAAAAAGACAATGAGCATCGTTTTCCCTTTGGATTTGCTAATTCTTCCGGTTTTTATCAGCGAGCTCTTCCCGGTAATCCCAAAAGGCCTGGTACCATCGAAACAAACCACTTCTTGTCTTGTCGCAGTTTTACCGAAATTCACACATAATTCAATCGCGTACCTGTGCTCTAACGAACGCTGCGTTTTCGGCTTGCAATACTTATAGAAACACGTCGCGCCCTCCACCGAATTCCGTCGGATTTCGGAACCTTTATGCTTCTGCACCATGAATGATATAAGAATTTCTAGAATTTTGTATTTGGTCTTTTGTCTTCTCAATTGCCTACTCAGACCAAAGTAGCAACTGTTGGCAAGAGATGTTGATTCAAAGATAGACGAAATTATCTACGACTTCGAAAGTCATGACAAAGTCGTGAATGCGTCGAATGTTTGTTTGATGACAGGAGATATATCGTCTTGCCTTCGTTCTCTCGCAGACCCTTTTTCTTCGCTTCTTTGTCCAATTTGGAGAAAACTCTAGCGTGGCTAGTCCCAAACGCAGCGCACAACCATGGAGAGGGATAATTCGACTTTTCACTTTAACTTGGCTTTAGACGAATGCTTAGCTACCCAGAGGAAACTTGGTTTAAGACCACAAGTAATGAGCTCTTTGAACCACTGGCCACTCCCAAATGAATGACGCTCAGAGAACTTTCTACACTTTCGGTAACTTCTACTTAAGGCTCCATCTTCCATACAATATTCATAGATATTTTAAGAATAAATAGAAAAACTTTTGAAAAATATATATTTTTCGATTTACAGGTGTTCCCTGATGGCGCTAAAAAAAGGTTCTCCATTGCTGCTGTGATTTAGGCCTTCACCGTAGACAGAATCTAAAAAACTACTCGTCTAGAAAATATTGTCCTCATAGTGACTTAAACTCGAAAAAAGTCAAATAAAAATGTAAAAGCACCAAAAATTAGGTTATTTCAATTTTTCACATCAATTTTGAGGTTTTATGGAAAAGGTATTAATACAAGGGTTGTAGATATTTTCATTATCTACAACTTTGTCACATAACTTTTTTCTATAGCACACGTAGTTTAGCCGTAAATCGAGATAAACCGTTATTATACAAATTATACCACGCACTCTCCTTCCTCTTCCCGACCACAGATCACCAGTCAACTTTTTTTCCTTTAATTTTTGTTATTTTATTTTTCGTTTACAAATGGTTCCAAGCTTTTATGATTTTGTTTTATTAAAAAAAAAAATTCAGCCAGCTGCACTTTAAAAGAACAAAACTCAAAAATATTTAAAATAATCATAATTTAGTATAATATTTTTAAAGTAATAGAACATCGATATAAGAAAAAAAAATAGTATATATATTTTTTTTTGGAATTTTACAAAAACTTTGTACTGAACCTTAGGCATCATATTTTTGAAATTCTTATTTATGAATGCGATGTACTGCATATAAGGCTCTTCAGCTCTTAAGTATAGAAATATTGTAATACGAAATCTAGTTATTGTCAATAATTTTTAATAATTATATGATAAACACTTGTAAATTTTATTACAAAGCAATAAAAATGTGTCACACTTCAAGCGATCCACCGATCACATGGGAAGCATATGAACAAGTTGCTCGTGGTAAGTTAACTAATCGCTCATGAATGTAAAATATCAATTTTATTGACCGTAAGCACATAAAGCTGGTAAAGACAGTGGCCGCAAAGTGCTCACGCGAGATTAAATTCTGTATTAATGAATGAGTGGGCTAAGTAAATATTTGCTTGATAAAACTATATCGTATTGCTTTCCAGCTATTTATTTCGCTATCTGCATGACATTTAAGGGTTAAGAGCATAACTGTCAGACCATTTATCGTCGCTTTCAATACTACATAAGCAGAATACAAAATGTTTTGTGTATTTTTAAATTACTTTTTTAAATTTAAAAACAGTTTTTGCATATTTGAGAGACGAGCATTTTAATTAAAAACAAGAATAGGTGCTATTGAAGGTCGCTTTCTTCTAGTGGTATGTTTTTGAATATGACAGATGTCATAATATTCAATTTGACACATTTATCACATCGTTAGCCTTTCCCTGAATAAAATAGCTGGAAAAGGAATGTGCAGGCTAACTTCCATTCCAACAAATGAAGGTAGCGTTTTGTGAATTGCAAAATATATTACGTGAAGTCTTCCATAGAGTATTTAATATATGTACAGTTCTAATTTATATTGGACTCTTAAAACACTTTATAAAAAATAATTACTCTTTCTGAACTTCGCTTAACAAATATATACTATACCATATAAATACATATTTATCTCATACCCTCTGGTGATGTTTCCGGCTAAAACACTTATTGTAGTCATGAACCCGCACGTGAAGACCGTAACTAATATACGTTCTTTGTTTGTAAGGAGATGTATCGTAAATATTCAGAGACACATACCTTTCTCACGTCAGCGATAATGGAAACTGGTCGAATAATATAAAGCGAATGAGAGTATATATAATGTGATAAATTTGAATTTATTATTGTAATTTATTCATATCATGGGTTGCGAGTGGAAAAGAGCGCTCGAATGGTGCCTGCTCGCAAGCGGCCACACTTGGGCCATTATCAGACTCTATAACAGGTGCTGATATAAAAGTTACATTACTTGGCTGATATTTTATTCTTCAGTACAAGTAATATGGATATGTAGTGATACGGAACCACTAAAAGAAAAGATTAGTACTACACTTCATTTTCTAACATTTTGTAGATATGAAGAATGGAAAGCGAATAGCAGGAAAGTTTCACAAGGATATTTTCGAACTTTACAGATTATACTGGGCTCTGCTAGGAAAACTTACCACTATGCACTCTACAAAAATTTTAGTCGAAATATACCCGATTTACCGTATACCTACATACATATTTATTTTATAGGAAATCCGTTAAAGGATATTTTAAACAACTACAAGCTTTCCGATAATGAATTCAGCTTTCTAAAACTCACTTAAGTAATTCATGTGTGTGTAAATTGAATAATAAGCTTTTGGGCAATTACTTTTGTAGTATGCCTTTTAAAAATATCTATAACGAAAAATTTAACCAGAACATTTCACGACGTAGTAAGACAAACCAGCTAAAAACTGATTTAGCAGGTCGATAGCTTTGATTGACACATTTGCTTGCGAGACTAGTTGAAATCCAAGGAATTTCCATCCGACCGTGCAAGCGATAATTAAGATATCTTGAAGTATTTTGAAACATGTGATTCTGGGGAGATTGGCATTGCATTGAGCGGAATCGGAAGTGCATCGTTCACATTTAGGTAAAAACCGTATCTTCGAAATTACTCAACCACTTTTAGTCCAGTATAGCCCTTTATCCTGTAGCGAAAATGGACAAAATCAGAACACAACTAAGCTTACTTCAAATATAACACAATTTCAAATTCCACTGTCACTTTACAGGACTTAAATCGAACACCAAAGAGGTTATCAGAACTTGCCACAGTTAAGATCTTTATTATACGAGCTGACGTCCGACAATTGCAAAATCCAACGACAGATATGATATTGAAATATAAAGATAATATTTTCTCCAAGCCTGCATAAACTTAACATAGATATATTTGGAATATATTGGTCAATATGTAAGTTATCTTAATGAAATTCAGAGAGCATCTTTTTAATAAAAGTGCATCCTTTTGCCGCGGAAAAGATGATTCGACCAACGAAAGGTTTCAAGACCGGAGCACACTCTTTTAGGACCTTAAGTGGTGATCTAGTGGTTGATATT